AACAAGGATAGCCCAGGGAGACTTCTGTCCCGTGGGCCTCATCATCTTCGTAACAGTTGCAACAGTTCATAATTTCAGGTAAACAGAGAGCACTTTTATCTTATTTAAAAAATTTTTTGCCAGTTTTAGCTAGTGACTATACACTGTGTTTAAAAGAGAGCCTAGCTCAGAGTAGGACCTAAAGAATATACATTGAAAAAAAGAGAATATACACTGAATAAGTAATTCACCTTTTTAATGCTATGTGGGGAATTTGAATCCAGGCTCATGAATGCTAGGCAAAAGCTCCCCCACTGAGCTACACCCCAACCCTTCTAATTTTATTTTGAGACAGGGTCACTCTGTGTTGCCCAAGATGGCCTTAAACTCACAATCCTCTTGCCTTAGCTTTTGGAGTAACTGGGATTCCAGGTATGTACCACCATGCCCAGTAGTTTTGCAATCTGGCAAAATTGATATTTAATAAAAGGAATTCAAAACAATATTGATTAAAAGAGCTGAATTTCCCGATCCTGAAAACAAACTATTTGTGTAATTTGGAACAAGCTTTGGTGTTTTTTTTTTTTTAAATCCTCTATAAATACTAGTTTTCTCATCTGTAAAATGGGCTAGGACTCGGTAATGGTGAACCTTTTCAGACAAGGGCCTAAAGTACAACCTCAAACACACTTATTTATCAAAATGTGTCATAGCTGTACTTAAACCTGAATACTGAGGTTTTAGTTTAGAAAAAGCCACTCATACATTAGCATCTTTTGTCTTAATAAGAAAAACAAACTCAGGTTCCAGAGGTTTGCCAACACTGGCTGTGTCTGTCTGTTGCACATTTTCACAGATGAAATGGCTGATGATGAATGAGGAAATATATTGTAGGCTTGCTGGCTGTCACAACATGTAATGGTAAACTGTAGTTCAAGTAATGCCCAGACCTTCAGTTGCTTCCTCTGTAAATTGGGTGTGAAAAGTATGCCTATCTTATATGGTACTTATATGTAAAATGTAACACAAATAGAACACTGCATGCCACCTTCTCAATCGTGATTTCTAGTGAGGAACACTTCCTGGACTGGTACATATCCACACAAAACTGTACAGATGATTGCAGAGAACTTAAACTTTTCCTGAAAGCCACACTCCTACTCTATGTGCGTGCCGTGTGTTACCACTCTTTGCCTTGGAGACCACATCCCAAAAAAGCAATCTGTGAATTCTGCTTGACCAAGGATTCTTTGTGTTCATCCAATACATGAAAGGATCTGTGTTCCAACAGAAGGGTTTTAGTATGGAGTTTTTGCTGGTTGGTTTGTTTATTTAGGGTTGAAAAGTGCTTGATAAATAGCAAACACTGTAGCTTCTCTTCTTTTGAAGTTCATTCTTTACTTTTCATTGTGGGCTGAAATCTCCCCAGTGTAGAGTATGTTTTGCAAAGCCCAGTGCACAGACACTCGAGAAGTCTGCCTCGGGAGCCCCCAGCCACCTGCGGGTGCCAGTGATGCCACATCCCGAGCGACGGAGGAGCAGCTGCCTGGGACCTGGTGACGGCAGCCCAACTTCCTCATTAGATGATCTTTACTTTCGTGACCCAGTAAATAGCAACCCTTCTGATTCTCAAGCAAGAACTCGAAGAGGCCCTGTTCCAAAAAGCAGTTAAGGGATCTTCTGGGAGCTTCTCGGGGCTACTAACATAGACATTGTCCTGACTTTCCTTTTTTAACATTCTCTTTGCCAGGGGGAGAAAAAGAAAATTAAGGTTGTTTGTTGGTATTATCATGGAACAGCAGTTAGTAGTTGTATAATGAATGAACGTATGAAGCACACTTTGAAAATTTGACATGCTTTATAAATGTTAAATAATAATGATGTCACCAGGCTTTCATTTTTAAACTGTCTTAATTTCATTCTCAGTTTGAGATTGCAGATTATAGTAGTTAATTATAGAAATTGGCCCAGAGTGAAACCTTAAATCAGATTTCCATTAAAGCGCCTGACTGTAGCTAATGACTCTTGTGGGAGGGAATGCAAGGATAGCAGAAACTCTGCTTGCATGTGCTCCACTCCCCTTCACTTGGTGTCTTGTCAGGGCTTCCTCCCTGAGCCAAGCAGCCGGTGTGTGCCTAGGTCTTACTGCTCCTGTGGGAATCCTCCTCCTGTAACAGCTGTTTCTCCCTCCCTCATCCCCTCCACATTCACACCTATTTCCTGTCTCACTGCTTCCTTCCTTCCTTTCACTGTCTTGCTCTCTCACACCTCATTCTTCTCTCCATCCTCTGTCCCTGTCCTTTCATGCCATCTGTGGTCCCCAGGGAAGCTGCTGTCTAGTCCTGATCTTACAGAGCAGGAAATAAAAGAGATAAGCAAGAGTAGCCAAGTGTCCACCTCTGGCCTCTAGGTCCTGTCCTGCTCGAGCATACCAGCATCACTTCTGGTTATTTTTCTATTCGACCTTTAGTTGGTTTCCCAGTAAACTAAGTTGGACAACACCTCTGCCTCCACCTTGGCTGCTTCCTTCTACTTTGATCTACCCTTCAGCAGCAAATCATGATTGGTTTATCTTTAGGTACAAGTTGCTGCATGAAGAATATCTATGTTTAATAAGGAGAGAAGAACATGCAAGGCATGCCTGGGAATTGAAGCAATAGCCGGTTCACAGCTCATATTTGGCCCTCAGTACTAGGGATTTGCCTGTTCAGTGGAGTTGAAATCACAAGATCACAGGCATCTCCCTCCTCCTCATCCTTCATCTCTACCTATTTAAGTACTTTCACCTAAGTTCAAAGACGGTGTATCGATTGTGGCACAGTCCTAGAGTTATAGGTAGACTGAAGAACGAGTCCTTCTGAATTGAACAGTCAGTAGTATGTCCATGAGAAGCTGATGTGCGAACTCATCTTTAAAGAATGCATGATCAGGAGAGGGACAAAGTGTCTATCCCTGTAGTCCCAGAACTAAGTAGGGCTGAGGTGGGAGGATTATGAGTTTGAGGCCAGCCTGGGCAACTGAGGAACTTAGCGAAATCCTATCTCCAAAAACTATTTTTAGAAGTGCTGGGCATACAGCTCAGTGCAAAAGCCCTGGATTCCCTAGTACCACAAAAGAAAAAAATGTGAGGTCTATTCATGTTCGTACATGAGACGAGGGGGCGCTTCGGAGGATGCTGTTCTCCTGCACAAACCTTAGCCCCAGTAGTTCTTCAGCGTCCATCTCAGACCTCATGGAGTCATTGTTGCTCTTGAGTACTTTCCTTCTATTGTTCTGGCAAGTTCCTCTCCACCCCACAGTTACTTGGAAACCAGTGCTATACCAAACCTCAGTACTTACAGCACTGAATAGCTGTCATTAGAAACCCAGCTTCTGCTTATCCATGGGCCTACTGTAAATGGTAATGGGAGATTTATTTTTTGGGGAGCAGCCTCTACCCATAATTGATTTGGGAAGTATTGCTCATTTATTCCTCCATCATTACCTTTTTGTTAGACTTCAGTAAGTTTGCATTCCTGTGATATTCAAATTCTACCTCACTGATGTGTACAGAAAAAGGTTTTCTTACTTGCTCTCTAGGTAACCTGCCCACTTTCATCATTGCTGACTGAACAAATTCATGTATAAATATCCATTAAGTGCATTTAAAGCTGTATGCTAAACATTTCACATGTTTATATTTATTTAGGCCTTTTGACAATTTATGGACTAGGTACTGTTATTGTACAGAGGAGGAAACCATGGTCAGTAAAGGTTATGTAACTTGCCCAGGGTGCCAGCTCCAGCTACCAGCATCAATGAGCAATCACTAGGCAATCTAGAGAGCACTGAGCCTCACCCTGCTACATGTTACCTTATGACCTTCAGTTCTCCCAATGGTTCTTGAGCTCCAGAGGACCAGGTCTCACTGTACTGAATGAGCAGTGTTCTGGGGTGGAACCAAACAAAAACTGAGTATTTTTGTAATGGCACTTTTGAAACAGTTAAGTGCTGTACGAATGAAGGATCTTCTTTTCTCCTGTGTTGTGTGCAGCTAATTTAACATACTGAAATAATAGGATCCAAAAATGGCATGCAGAGCACACATATATGCTTTGCAATTAGTGTAGCATAGTTTAATTGTGACTCTATTGTTGGAATTTTGATGCCTCAAGCTTGATGAATAACTATTTTCTGTGGGTGTTATCAATTAATCTAGGTAATGAATTCTCTTCATTATCTCGTTCTTCATGTTAATTATACAGAATTTTCTTATGCCTATTTATCAAATCAAGACAAGCACAATATTTTTTTGGCCCATGTACCTTTGAATATGGAATATGTACAAACAAGTTAACATGACGGTTTTAAATTTACATTTCTGAAAAACTTCATTTAGTATTGTGACTTTCTTTGAATCATACCTATGGTATAAACTTGTATCTTTTTTTTATTTTGGGATATACTTTTTCTTAACCGAAAAAAACTGCTATATGAGATAATTGTGTCTTATTTTTGAGAATGTATCCCTACTGTATTAAAAAGCTATCATAGAAGCATTACAAAGTGAGAATCTTTACATATTAATATCAAACAGCAAATAGTAAGTTCCAGGTTTTGACTGTTGGGTGAAGTACCATAAATAAAAATTTTTGATATAACCATGTAGAAAAGAAATACAAGTGCTTGAAACTGTAAATGACACTATTCATTTGAAAAATTAAAATCAGCTTCAGAGGACAGTATGAAAATAATTCTGAAGACAGTATACAATAAACAGATAAGTGAATGGTGTTGGAATTAATTTTGAATTCAGCAGAATCATTAATAGGACAACATGGGTTCATATGATAATGCTGCATATTGCTGTTAATTCGTTACTGAATTTAACTTTCTTAATACATTCTGGCCCTTTTTACATTTTATGTCCTATGAAAAAACAAAACTAAAACCTCTTAATTTTAATTGTCTTATTTAGCCAGTTTTTTTATTTTAGATTGTTAACAGCATCTTGATGGGCACCTTCCTATTTTTCATTTCAGGTTGAAGCCATCTTAGTCAATATTTTTGGTGGTATTGTCAACTGCGCCATCATTGCCAATGGAATCACCAAAGCCTGCCGGGAGCTAGAACTGAAAGTGCCCCTGGTGGTCCGCCTTGAAGGTGAGTCATGGTGATTTTCCAGTGAGCTCACCCTCTTCTGTGTGGCCCTGTGACCGGTGTGATCTGGACTCACACACATCCTGACATAGCATACGGAAACCCCAGATAAGATACTGAGAAACACATGCAGGACAGTGGACGTTCCCTGGGCCCCCAGAAGGGGACCCAATATGGATTGTAGCTCTTTGGGAATGGCAGGTGTTAGGATTCCCCAAATTTTCCAGCTTCCTCCAAAATGGAAGCCCTTCTCTTTTGAATCATCTCATGACATGTGTATTTGGGGAGAGGTACTCAGAGAATGGCTGTGCTCCAAGAATATTTATCAGTGGAGAGCAATAGCTCTGAAACTTTTGTTCTAGCTGAAATGTGGACCCCTTTCCTTGCTAAAATCGAGGCCCCTAAAGAACTTCTATTGATTTTAGATTTTATTGGTGAATTATAATTTATTAATTTAATTGCTTTATAAATTAACTTGGTAACCCATTACCTCGAATTACAAAAATATTTATTAATTTTTAACAGTACAATTTTTCTTATTTTTTGTTGTACATATGAGTATTTTATGTGCAAAATAGTCCTAATCTTTACGGAGGATTCATTCCGAGATCCTAAATGCCAATCATAAATTTAATTTATAAATTAGACACAGAGTTTAACAACAATAGCATAATAAGATAACATACTGTAGTAAAATTTATATGAATACAGACATGCTGTCTTGAAAAAGTGAAGAAAAATAACATTTTCAGACTGGAGATAACTGATGCTGGAATAATTTAAATTACAGAAAAAGGGAGAGTGAAATATTACTCATTTTATGAAAAATAACTTTTAAAACAATTTTAGTAAGAATAATTGTTGTACAATCTTACAAATACTTTCCTATGTAGCTTAATGGGTGCTTCTGCATTATATCTGTGGCAATACATTGCTTTGCTTAAAATACATGAGCAGAAAATCTGGTCTCATAGAGATATGTGGTTGGAAATGGAATGAGTTTTTAATAATCTTTTCATGTATTTATGAATTTTCTTCTTTAGCACTATGAGGAAAGCTTATAGGTAATAATAGTTTCTTTACCAAAGACACATTTTAATGAAATTATCTCAATTAACTTTTTATACTCTGTTATATCATATTCTACTGGTCTCTGTTGTACATTAAGTGGATTTTACCCAGGCACAATTTGTTATATTATGCCCTGATCATTTGTTAGAATGTCGTTTATACAGCTCTTCCAAAGGTTGACACATTTCAAATACAGTATCCTCGTGAAATTCACATTTGTTCATATCAACACCATTCTCCTCAAGAGGCTTTTTAAGTATTGGGAAACTGTCAGGTTCACAGTGGCAGATGCAAGTTTTGAAGAATTTGAGTTTTCTGTTTAAAGTACAGATTTTATCTTGAGCCACAAGCAGACATTTGCTCTCCTTGAAGGGACAGACTCACTTCTCTCACTTGTTTTTGAGAAAGCTTCTGCTAGATGACCAAGTCTGTGAGCCGCAGTGCCGGTCACTCTTCCAAGTAAAGCTGCACTCCATGGAAAAGAGAATGGCTCAGTTCGTGCCCCGACAGGCGTGTGACACTTCTCGTGCTTCGTGCATACTCTGCATTTGATCACGAGGTATTAAAAAGCAATCAAGGGTTGAGATTTAATAAAAATAGTATTTTTTTATTTGTCACCGGAAACTAGCAAAATGTTTTTGCAAGTATGGTTCTAGTAGTTTGGTAAAGCAGTGGTTAAAAAAGCAGTGGTTCTAGTAGTTTGGTAAAGCTTCCTGGATACCTGGTAACATGACAGCAGTTTTAATCACCATTTGTGCAAATGCCAACACAGTATTACTGTTACTATTAATTACTGCTGTATCACTACTAGGAAAATTATTTCTTACCCTCAGGACCCTGCCTTGTCCCTGCATCCTGTGGAGATAGATGTGTTGCTTCTTGACCTTTGGATAAGATCAAGTGCAGTATCTGTGGAGACAGATGTGTGGGAGTAAAAAAGCAAAATCTTACTTTAATATGCAAACTACCCCCAAATCCTATCCACACTATAAACAAATACACAGGATAATAAGCAAGCCACCCCACTGAACCAGTTCTCCAGTGTCACCCTGGGGGCAACTCAGTTGCCTCAGGCATGTGTCGGTGCCCTTTTTCCCTGAGACCTCCTTAGCCTTCAGATAGAGGCTGAAGACACTGGCCCTGGCTGTGACCTTACCCCTAAGGAGGGGAGCAGCATCGCTGAAGAGCTGTAGGCTGCTTTTGTTCCTTTCTTCACATCGCTTTCTCATCTCCTTTCCTGCCGCCCTCCCTTCTTCCCTGAAACTGTCCACCTCCGAGCTTTAGATGTGCACAGGATAGAAGTGGTCATCACGTAGGAAAGATGCGAATTGGCCAAAGCTCCAGGGGGCAGAGTTTAATATGGACACTAAAATATATCAGTGAAGTAAATCTTAGAAGGATAAGTGGAACATAATTGAGCTCAATAAAATAAATAAGAGGATAATAATTGACAAAACTTCATTGAAAACATTGAGCAAAGAGTTAACGAGTTCATCATTATTGGCATAATTCTGACTAGAATGTTGATGTCAGACTGTTTTTCAGGGTCAGAGTGGCCCCTGTCCCTCACACTGTAACACAATTCTCCTTGTCCTCTTAATAGGGAGCAGGTCTTTATCCACAAATCATACTAATGTTTGTAACTCAGATATAACTAGAAATAAGTGCATAATATAATGGACTCGTTTTTTTCTAGAGACTCCCTGAGCTTCTGCTATCATCAGAAGCCCATAATTGTTAGTCATTCGTACATTCCTAGGAAAGCAAATTAACCCCACTTTCAGTTTTTATTAAAACGTCGAAGGAGCATGTCTTTTATTTTCACACTATGCTCACGAGTCTAGAAGTATTAAAAGATCCCAATAATATCTCAGGAGAAACATTGCAGAAATATGCAAAATGCTACATCCAAGATGGTCTCCCATAATAACTTCTGCTTGTTGTATCAGAAACACTAGGAAGCCGGGCGTGGTGGCGCTCGCCTGTAATCCCAGCACTCAGGAGGCTGAGGCAGGAGAATTGCTGTGAGTTGGAGACCAGCCTGGGCTACATAGTGAGTTCCAAGTCAGTCTCAACTACATAGTGAGACCCTGTCTCAAAAAACAAAACAAAAAAAGAAAGAAAGAAAGAAAGAAAGAAAGAAAGAAAGAAAGAAACACTAGGAAGAAACCTTGAAATTTCTAAGTTTGTTAGACAGTCAATTTTGTATTTTTTAGGAAAATCCATTTCCAAGCTATACATCTATGATTTTCTAATTACCTAGTATATTAATAAATGCCATGTGTAGGTCCTGGAGCTTAAATTATGGAAGATGAGCAGAAATGATAAAAACTAACTTGAGAAAACAAGAACTGATGATATATGGCAATATATAAAATATTAGCAAATGTTTCCCCTAGTAGTATCTACCTCAGTCTTCTTAGAAATAGCCCTCAGGGTATCTCAGACAGCCACTAACCTTGCTTTCTGAATATTTGGAAACATTGATGACCTCACGCTATCTGTTATACTGTGGGAAATTGACTCCCGACTGGCTCACAGGGGACCTCGTCCCCAAACTTTATGTGAGCTAAAAATATTCATGTTGACCTTCTTTGCCACTATCATCATTTCACTCTTATAAACGCCTCACCTATAATAAGCACCTTAGATCTTATCAAGATCTTTTCTGCCTTTTATAGAAATTGGCGTCTTGTGTAATCCATGTCCTTAGATAGATACAGACCCCCACCCACCCAACTTGGCATTACCAAGGATGTTAGGACCCATACATGTGATTTCTAGGAAAGCAGCAGCCTCACACTAAGGCAACACCAAGCCTAATATTGTACTGGACCTCTTAAGGGAAAGATGAAAAACTCCCTCGAATTGTATTCTTGGTCTTAAGCATAAGTAACAAAATGTAGAAACTTGGAAGAGATATTACCCATAAAGGCCGCCTCAGAAATGATTATAAACCAAGTCATTGCTCAGTTGGAGCATATGATGTTCCAATAAATACATTTATACATTATATAATGTTAAATCCGGTTAAATATATACTTCTCCTAAAGCATTATCATTTCTTTATGTTAAAAATACTCAAACTGTTTTCTTCTAACTTTTTGAAGTATAGAGTATGTTAAGGCTATTTATAGTCACCCTACCATGCAGTAGCACACCAGAACTTCTTACCCCTACCTCATTCTAACTTGATGCCCCTCTGCCAGCCCCTCCACAGGCTTCTCCCTCCTGCTGTCCTCTGGTAACTCTTCTGCTGTCTGTTGTCAAGTATGAGACAACTTTTTAATATTTCATATAGATCCTATCCCTTTTTTGAAAGCTTAATCAATATTGGCATAGTTGTAGTAGATTTGCAGTTGTGAGCTCTCAAAAAAAATTACAGATAAAGAATCTTCAAATAGAGTCTAGAAAGAAAAGTCAGATTTGAATCACTGGAGGGGAAGAAGGAAAGAGTAGAAGATCGAAGTGAATCATTATCCCTACCTGAGAATTGAAACTAGGATCATGATAGTTGTAAAACTGAAAGCCAGGACCCAGGTAAACCTGATGCTGACCTGGGAGTAACGGCTTTGTAGCAGTAGGCTTTATCTGAAAGAGCAGAAGTGAAATGTGAAGTTGTTAGCCAGGGTCTGTGACATTAGGTAGAGTATAATACCAAGGTGGAGCTGCCACATCAAGGTAAAAGCCCCAGAGAAGCAACAGGAGGAAGGAAAGGGAGGGAGAGAGAAAGAGGAACATGTGGGTTTAGGTGACATAGGTCTTGGATGTGGGGAAGTCAGTGGAGACTAGATAGAGAATGGAGAGTATTACATGGGGGATAATCATGCCGGCTTTGTGATGAAACGATAATATGAGAGAATGTGTATAGACAGATGCAGAGAACGGGGACAATCCAGGGAGAGGTGTGGATATGGCACCCATCGCCGAGG